CTTTGGTCTCGAAGTGATGCCCCAATGCTAAGATATACGATTTGTTGCCGCTGCCTTGGTCTCAAAACGATGCCCAATGCTAATATGTACGATTTGTTGCCGTTGCTTTGGTCTCGAAGCGGGGCTCCAAGTCTAAGATGTACGATTTCTCGCCGTTGGTTTGGTCTCCAAGTGTATTGTAAACGATTTGATGCCGTTGCTTTGTTTTTGAAGTGGTGCCCCAGTGCCAAGATGTACGATTTGTTACCCTTTGTTTTGGTTTATGAAGTGGTGATCCAATGCTACGATATATGATTTATTGCCGTTGCTGTGGTCTCGAAATGGTGGTCCAGTATTAAGATATTGAATTTGTTTGCGTTGCTTTGGTTTTGAAGTAGTGCCCCATTAATATGATATGCATATTCACGTTGCTTTGGTCTCCAAATGATGCCTCAATTCTAAGGTAAATAATTTATTATCATTATCTTGAATATTACCTTTCAATTCGTGCCTAAAAATATCAAATAACTTTTTATTTCATATAGATTTTTTTCAGATTGGAAGCTGATGGCTGTAGGTGCCCTTTTGCATCTCATAATGGCCAGATAGAATTCTGAGAACTATCTGCTTTATACTATATAGCAGACCCTGCCTGCAAGACCTATCTCCTAGAATATAACCTGCGTCATTTATGACCAGACAAATCATTTGGATTTCTTAAAACGATTATCTAAAAATTTGAACTAGAGAAATCACAAATATAATTACCTATTTTCCTCCAAAATAATTCTAAAATCTTTTATCAAGATCGATAAGATCCATAATTCCAAGAAACCAAATCAAGTGCTTGCTGCCAAAAAAATCGAACCCTATAAAATTCTACGTATCTATCATAGAAAGCATTTAATATATCGAAAAAAATTATAGATATATTTTTTATTTCTAATAGCCGTGACCGAATATTAAAAGAATATAAAGAATTATAATTCTTCATTCGTAATATATCTAATTATAATAGATGCTAATCAAATTAAATATTTTTTTCTTTATTTTTTATTAAATATTTTTTTTTAGAGTTTACATATTCGATATAATTATCTAATTTCTCATAATTATTAATTATATTCTACAAGAATAAGAAATATAAAGTATATTTTTTTTAAATCAAATAAAAGAAACAACAAAAATATTCTGTATAAAATAAAAGAAATAAGAAACATATTCTTTATAAAATTATCGATTCAATTAGAAATAGTCTATTTATTATTCAAATTATCATGATCATAAAATCATATCAATATTATCAAAATTTTCAAAGGATCAATATATAGATTTTAAGGAATTAAAAGAAATTCCAAATCTATTGAATTCAAAAATCAAATAAATAAATATAAATAAAAGGCTCCGATTTGAAGAATCAATATTTCTTGATTTTAAAATAATAGATATCAAAATCTTCAATTATTCCTGACTGATGGTGAGGCTCCCCAGTAAGCTGTGCGACGATTCCTCTTGAAGCAGAGTTTGGGGACAACGTCAAAGCGACGGGCTCGATGGTTAAACACCTACTCACGCGTGCCTTTGACGCCCTCAGACGAAGCCGCTCAAAGCGCTTGACGCCACCTTGGACTCAAAACGCTGAAGAAATCACAACTAAAAAGCCCTCGACATGAGGGCAGAATTCTACTTGCTCCAAGGCTGCTGTTCTAAGATCAGGTCCTTACCTGAGAATGGAAGACCCTCTACATATTGACTCCACAACGTCGTTACGAAACGGTCGTGGTTTCAGAAACATGCACCAATTGAAGCGTCTTCAGCCCACCCTTCGGGCCGCCTGGGGCACCACCTCGTGAAAGCGCGGCCTCCTGCACAGCGCACAGCTGTAATTGTGATTCGTTTCGGGGCCCTGCATTTGGACTGTGGGTGTGCTGTAGGTGCTCTGGGGAGGTGTTCGGCAGTGTCTTGCGGCTTTGAATCTTGGCTTCGTGTAGCAGGCTTCCTCGTTTGCGGATTTCCCGGGCGATGTGCGAAGTACGACATGCACTTGCTATGGTGATGCCCAAAAAGCTTCAGGAGCTTTAGAACTTTAGAACTGCGATGAAGCGTCGCAATCCCGAGCAAGCGTCGGGACTAGATTTGGCTCACAGCTTCCGGTGTCTTGCGTGGCAGCTCTGACAAAGTCGGATCTCACACACACAAGGAAAATTCTGAGGATCAGGCTGCTTGTACAACTACGTCATCAACCAGCGCCCGAAGGTCGAAACATTGCCCCTCATTGTGAAGATCGAGCGAGCCGGTCTTGCACATATCTTTGCGTATCTTTACCATGGGCATGGGAATTTCTTGACAGGGCTGAGATTGCTTCCTGCTGCATGGTTCTCAACCTCCAATAAGAGAAGGGGCATCCGCGCTGGGTTCAGTGCCTGCGTCCTTCTCCGCATGAGGCTGCAAAGAGATGCCACTTGCCGTAAGATCGTCAGACATCTCACCGAAGGTGGAGATGCGGCCCTGCCCAGTTTCTGCATCTTGGTCGGGCTGCTCCACTCCCTGCCGACTGTGTGCCTGACGCGCAAGCGCCGCCCAGTCGCTCCGGCGGATGACGAATAGAATCACAGCAGCCTCCACCCAGGAAACAGCTGCCTGAGCCCAGTAGACAAGATTCAAGGAGGCACCAACATAAAAGACCATAAATGCGGTAGAGCCAACTGAGAAGGGAAGCTCAAATCCCATCGACAGAAACGTCACCGCTTTGGTGCGGCCCTGACTCGTCAAGATTCCCTGAGTACCCACGGATACAATGATGGAGGCAATCAAATTCATCATTATGGCCGGAAGGATGGTCGTTGCTGGCACGTCCACCTTCTCATCTTTGGATACCACGTGCATGATGTACTTCCCACAAGGAAGGTAAATAGCGGCAATGACTGCTGTTATCACAGCCCCAAGTAGCAGCGCCAGCATCCCAACCATCTTGGCATGCTTTCCCTGCCCCTTACCCAAATAGTATCCAACGCGCATGCCTCCAACCATTGAAAGTGTGGGAGAGAGGCCGCCTGTAAAGACCATCGTTGCAGCGGCCGCTGCCGAGCTGGCCGCAACCGCCTCTTCTCCCAACTTTGCGATCATCAGAGTGGTGGCTTGGCCGACAAACGCTTGAAAAATCAGCGTTCCCATCTGTGGCAAAGACATGGCCATAAAGTTCTTCACGTGCTCCTTTGTCAGGTAGGTCTTCTGGGACCACGATGGCCAAGTGTCGAGGTGGGCTTTTCGCCACCAGAACATGTAGAGCCAGTATGCCAGTGGCTGCAAGGTTCTGGAACAGCTCAGCGAGAGCGCCGCCCCAATGAATCCAAAACCATACCATCCACAGGCCCTGAAAGGTCCGCCGAAGACGAAAATCCAGTTCAGCAATGCATTTACAGCGAGGAAGATGATGTTATTGTACATGGCTGGCTTCGTGATGCCTTGCGCCTGGAAGTAGAAGCGCATGCTCTGGTACCAACCATTCGGGATCGGCCAGAAGATGTTGTACTTCGCGTACATCCCGGCAAGTTCACAAACATCTTCGGAAAAGCCCAGAAGCTTCAGCATGGGTGAGACAAAGAAAAACGAAGCTAATGTCACCCCGTAGCCAAGGGTCAACCAAATCAAAGAGAGCTGCAGCCAAGTGCCCGCCATCTTCTTGTTGCCAGCTCCTATGGCCTGGCTGACAAGCGCATTGAGGCTTTGGTTAAAGGCCAACGGCGGAATGATCAGGATGTTTGTGACCATGTCAGACAGCCCAGCAGCTGCCAAGTAATCAACGGGTCCATAGCCCACTGCGCCTTCATTGCTGCCTTTTACTGCTAGGAACCCGTAGCCAAGCAAAGCGGCCCCCATATTCCAAACGACGCCATTCCCAAGCACAGTAGGTCCGGTATTGAGCAATTTCGCCGTTCCAGATGTGATGTGTCCCACGAACGCGGAGTCTTCAGAAGCCATACCGAATCGACAGAAAAAGCTGATAAGCATCGGCCAACCAACGCTGCACATTGTCTTGATCTCTGTTTTGTAGAAATTGTCCTCGATTACCTCTGAATTTTCATGCTCCACGAGCGGCTCTGACCTCTGTGCCGTGGATGCGATGGCATCATTTGAAGTCATCCTCTACGCAACGTTGAGGTTCCCTCGAAATACGAGCTGCAAAGCGAAACCTATCCAGTGTGGCAGCAACGCCTACCAATCAGGCCCTGCCAGGTGGAAAATGACCTGAAGACTTGCTTTGGAGCTTGAGCCAGGGCTTTGTGCGAAGACGGCCAATAAGATAAGGACTCTCCGCACTTCAAGAGCACAGCCCAGAAGACCTCATACGTAAATATCCCCTGGGTCTGTAGTGGTTTGTTTGCCCCTTGCAGCAGCACTCATCCGCGAGTAGGAACATCGCAACTCCTTCAAGACCAAAGCATTGACTGCCCAATGTGAGCCTGAAAACCCCTGAACATTTCTGAACCCTAAATCTTGGTATGCGGACTCTTTACTACCCCACCTTTGGCTTCTGGCCGTCTGCAAAGCGCAGCTGGTGCGGGTGTCCGGTTGCCCTGTCAAAAAAAGGATCTGCTCTTGAGGATAGCTGCTGAGATCATTTAAAGTTGGGGCTATGATAACCGAGACGTTCCACAAAGCAATAGGTTCATTTGTGGGGCACCGAGTCGGAAGCTGGAAGTTTCAATTGGGCTCCGAGAGCTGCGCTCAGCCGTCAAGGATGTTGGAACAAGATGCCACAGAACCATAGAAAAAAAGTTGCAAGCCTTCCTGTCAATGATAATTGGGCACTCCACTTCCGCAAACACAGTCGAGGGTTGCAACGGGTTAGACTCATTGACATCCGAAAGGAAACATATGCTGCTATGCCCTGCCTTGTGTCCCACGAGAACGACGTGATCAAGACTAGCAAAGGAGAACTCTGATCACTGTAGCGTGATGTGCAAGAAATTCAACAATCGCGGTCATCCTGCAATGAGACTATGCCCAAAAATCAAAGCACCTCTTCTGGCTGCATAAGGAGTCATAGTGTCGTGTATCTTGAGAAAAGTTTGCGTTGACCAGGTTGGCCAAACGACACACTTCTTGGAACCTGCAGATTTCAACCACTTAAGGGTTTAGGGTATGACACACATCAACACTGAACCAACCCATCGCCCTAGAATACACATCTCCGAACGAGGGTCCCAGTACACATCTGGGGTACTGGAACCTTCAAGGATCATGTTTGTGTAGGACGGTCTGATGGCTGTGGAGCTCTGAGAGTGGCTCTGCACTGTCAGCTTTTCTTACATCTAGAGGTCATGTTTTCCTGAAGTTCATCCGGTGCTTGGAACGGGGGCCAGTGCAAAAATGGCCGGCATCGTGCCGACTCTGATCCTGCATGACGCTCTTTGCCTCTTTGCTACAGCGTAGGGCTCCTAGCTTAACAGTCGAGGATCCTGATCAAGTGTAAACGCACATCTTGCAGCAGCCTCAATATGTCTTCCTGTACTCGCTTTCTCAAGTGTGCCTACTTCGCAACCCAAATCCGAAACTCGTCCAAATATCGAAACCCTTAGTCGACCCTTTTTTGGCCTCGAGGGATCTTTCGCCTGGAGGATATCGGGATGCCCAAGAGACTGGGATGCCACCTAAGTCAGCAGACGACCCATGCTAGAGGCTTTGAGGATGAAGGCTTTCGACCCGAAGAGCTGCACCTCAACTTCAACCCTAAACTCTTGAAGCTGAGAACCCTGCGTTTGTTGGCGCGGGCCGCTTGACTTTAATTCTTGTTTGAGGATATGTTGCTTTGTTGCTTTGCGTTGGGGGCAGACTGCTCCGCTCGGGCTCCGCTTAGGGCTGGGGGTTCGGTTCGGATTTCCGTGGGGTTCGGAGGGCTGAATCATTAGGGTCTCAAGTTCAAGGTGATTGTCGCCAGACAAAAAACATCTATAAACAATGGCAATTCACACTTCTGCGGCTCAATTGCGGTCACCCCTCGGTCAGTGAGAACGCAATCGCCGTTCAAACTGAAGTTGTGCAGTAGAGCCAGTAGAGCTCACATAGAGTAACTACCTTACTCACTGGACTAGCCAGTGCATGCATGAATTCCGGCGAGGTCATCCAAGAACATGTCAGCGGAGCGGCATGCCATGATACCCTGGTGAGTGTCTTTGCCTAGACGTCTGGCCACGGCTTCGGCAACTACGGCAAACCTTTGGCGAAACTTGTAAACGAAACAAAAGATGAGCCCATCATGGCAGACACTTGGCCCAACGAGAAAGAAGCCTTCTGTTCGAGTGCTTTCGTCCTGGTCCGTCAAAACCGGAGAGGAGGCCTTGTCAGAGCTCCACTGGAAGAGATCGCCGACCAGGGCAGCCACGCTGCCTTGAAAGCCGACGCATAGTATCGGAGGAGAAGCTGTGGAAAAGATTCGCTGCACCGGGGCACGGTCATCGAATGCCACGCGATCTGCTGCGTGCTCCTTCGCATAAACCAAGTAGCCCGCATCAGCTTTTGCCACCTTCGTCACTGTGAACCCTCCGTGTAGCTTCGGCTGCGGAAGGCTTGCATCGGTCATGACATCCCTCAAACGTGCCCGTGTGTACGGGGCAAGCTCTTCACTTGGATCTGGACTGCTCTCCTGCCAGCAGGGGCTGGCAGCTAGAACTGTAACTGGGCGCTTTGTACGGGCAAGCTGTACTGCTGCATCAATCCCACTCTCGTATCCACCAATGACCACAAACTCGTCACCAGGAACATCCACCCAACTTCGCACAAACGAGTTGTGCTGGCAAAGCTCCATTCCTTGGAAACCACCAGAGTCTTTCGGATATTGGAATTCACCGGCGGCCCAAATAACAAACTTACAGTGCACACTAGCCAGTGTGGCAGCTGGAGCAACTTGCGAAGGCTTCACATGAACTTTGAAGCGAGGATGTCCTGGGACACCCAGGGGTGAGATCCGAGTCACATCTGTGCAAAACTGGATTGGAAGCTGGCTTTCATTTGCAACTGCCTCAAGATAGTTGGCATACTGCTCGCCTGTTGGGTGTTCCTCCAGAAGGAATTTAGCAGGCGATGTATCTTGGGCAATGCTGTTGAGATCCAGGGACTTCGTCCATTCAGCCTGGTTGAACGAAGGGGAGATGAAACGCATCTCTTTCGGCCATCTCCTGAAGCTCTCACCCACGCGGGCGCCGCGCTCCAGTACCAACATACGCTTGCGATCGATGCCGAACTGCTCGATGAGCATCAACCCCACTCCAACTCCAGATGCTCCTGCACCAACGATGACAACATCCAAATCATCGTCCTGTTTGCTCACCTGCGGTTTCTTCCCGAGCACAGTGTTGTCTGATGCATGATGGATTTCATGCAGGTCTGCATCGTCACCTGGCAGAAGCATCTGGATGATGCTCTTCATGTTTTGCTCCTCGATGCCTGCCACCTCATTTTCCGGGTCGAGCTTCCTTGCCAGCACAAACATATCTTCGGCCTCCTGGAAGGCCGCACGATTTGGGTTCTCGCGGCTGCCGTCCATGATCTGATCCAGCAGCGGAAAGAGCAGCGCATTGCCGCGTATCACGGCCGCTTTCGAAACTAATGACAGATTTCTCAATACTGCCTCTGCCGCTGCTGCAGCTGCGGCGTAGTCCTTGGATCGCAGTAGGCTCTCGGCGCGACCCACCATTGAGTCAACCTCCGACATCAGGCTGTCGGGCATGTTTCTTGTCACCCTAAACCCTAAACCCCCGAAAGGATCGAAAGGCTTCTCTTTTTTTGGTGCTGTTGCCTGCCGTACAAAAGCGGCTATGGTAGTAGCAGCAGCGTAGTGCTAGTCGTCCTCGTCGTCCTACTAACACTGGCAGTAGGGTGAGGAGGGAGGAGGGAGGAGGAGCAGTGCTGGCAGCAATCGTCGTGGCCGAAGCCGAAGTCGGTTCTATTGTCGTTGCTGCTGTAGACCCTGCGCATGAGTTGGAGCATACACCTTTCAAACAGCTGCAGGCTTGCAATAGTGTAGGGGACGAGGATGCCTGGATTCAGAGTGCCGGCATGCATGAGCTGTCTCGCTCTCGCGCTCCCTGAAACTGAAAAAACTGCTAAGTGGGGTGGTAATGCCAAGCGCCACTTCTGTGCCAACTCCTTCGAGCCTGTGTTCCAGCCACATCTCCAGCAGAAAGCCGGTATTGAAACCCCAAAAACCTCGTCTTCGGAAAGGGTCCCCTCCCTTCTTTTATGCAACTCCCAAAAGGCATCTTTCCCTAAACCCTCAACCCTAAACCCCTTTGAGTTAAGGCGACCAGTGCGTCAGCTCCAGGCCTGGGCGATGCGGCGACGCCGAGGCGCCCATGGCGGTCCCTTCCCGAATCCGGAGGCGAGGCCCTGATTCAGGGTTTATAGGGTTTAGGGTTTAGGGCTTAGCATGATAGTAGAGAGGCCTTAATGATGTAGGGCTTACAGGGCTCTTTGCAGAACCGCAGAAGACGCTGAGGTCCTCGGAAGAAGTGCCTTGATACTGCTGATGGACATAATCCTGGAATCAGGAATGGAGCATGGGTCCCCTATTTGGGTAGGCTCAAGACGACGTAGGATCCTGTCCATGAGCAAAACACGGGACCGGTGCATTCTTTAGGCAACCGTTGCTCTGGACACGAGCTGGTGCAGAAACGGATCGACAAGCACAGGAAAACACCGAGCCGAAGAGATGATCTGGGGGTTTGCGAAAATAGGGGACCCCAATATAGTACCTTAAATAGTAGAACCCTTATTATGAGGACCCCAATATAAAGTACCCCTAATTTTGGGAAACTCCCATGTACCTGCTCTATCAACACCAGCAGCAAAGAGACGGGTCCATGCATGAGAAGTTTACCATGAATAATGCAGGGCAGTATCGAGCAACTCACATTTCCGATGCTGCTCGGCGCAATGATGCTGTCAGTTCAAAAGCAGGTCTGGGATGAGACACTTCACAACTTCACCAAGGACGTCTCTCGCTCTCTCTCTTGCTCCCTCTCTCTCTCTCTCTGTGGCTCCCTCTCTCTCTTGCTCTCGCTCGCCCCCTGTGTATGGCGAAAGTGAAAAACATACGTCGCTTTGCATGGAAGGCTTGGACACACAAGTTCAGTATGGTCAGG